AACTGGGCACACATACATTTAACTTGACAACCAAATGCACTATCAACTACAGCAACAAAACAGTATCAATCGGACAAAATAGCAAATGAATATGCAAAACGGAAGCTATTTATTACACGATTCTGTGAGTTGTTCCAGTTGTGCTCGCAGTTGACAGTATTTGTTTATTATCCTGGTTGCTACAACAACTCATGCAACATTGTTTAGTTTTTGTAAAAAAGTAGCTATGAAAACTTGGTGCTTCGCTTGCTACTACCTTTATTATATTTACTGTTTATTATTGCTGCCATTGTAGTACTATTTGTTGTTACTTTTTGTTATTGGTTTTTATTGTCAACGTACATATATACGTATGTGTACATATACGAATATGCCAGGAGGTGCTGGTGCCTTTGGCAATTTTACTAAAAATACCAAACATTTTGAAAAGCTGATTCGCAACTACAACTCGTTGAAAAGAACACAAAATAGTTACTGTTGTTGTTTTTATTATTATTCTTTTACACCGCGCAGCTACCTCGCCCAACATTAAACTTTGGCAACTTTTTGACGCGACACAATTGTCATTTTATTGCCTTCTACTCCAGCAAAAACGAGGAAAACTGCAATAAAATATAGCTACAACTACAAGAACTGTAACAACAACAATGTGGACAGTAACCAGCAAAACATAACCATAAGGAAGCAGAAATAAAATCACAACTGTCATAAAAATTTCATGCCTGAATTATTCGCAAATTGATTTTCATAGCCTTTTGCATTGAATTTGCACGGCAAAAAGCGTTTGATGGAGAGAGAGAGAGAGAGAGGGAGAGGGAGAGATCGTGTGGTAGGAATGAGTGAAGTTTGGAGTGAAAAAGGGTTACCACCGACCAGCGCTAGGTGGTACGAGTTGCCGCAGGTGCGCGAGTAAGCGCTACAAGGCCGAGGCGTTGGCGGTGGCCTCGGCGAGCTGAGCAGTTAACTTTGTATGAACAGCAGAGGAACTAGACTCTGTGTTACGGTTCAACGGCTTCGAGCTAACAAGCGTATTGGGGTATGGACTTCACGGTTGCAGGTTGCATGCGCCATACGGCAAGTGGCATATATCACGCGCGCTCAAGAATAACAATTTTATAGCGAGCTGCTCATAAAATCACAAGGCGCTTTCCGCGCCGCCAGGCCCTGTCTGCTGCGAGTATTTGACTTGAAGTAGCGTTACTGAAGCTTTACATTCATTCAACTGTGCCACAAATCGGTAATAATCGTACAACTCGCTTCGGTTAGTTTGGCGCTGACTGCTTTGGCGAAGTGCTTTGACTCATAAAAGTTTTATTTCGTTTGCGCTGCGATTTTTTATTCGATTTCTAGTTATTTTTTATTGTAATTTGACTTGGCTGTTTGTGGCAATTTGACAATTGAATTGGCAAAAAAAAGTGGAGTTTTAATGAAAATTTTATGGCAACATAGTAACGAATGCCTGCTGTTGCATGCCACATATATGAATTTGGCGTATTTCGTGTTATTTGATCTAAATAATGTTGCGCCGGAAATTCGTGTAAAAAATGTGTTTACTTTTTTGTCTTTTATAAGACTGTCATTGTTGTCAAGCTTTCTTACTCTAGTTTAACGGCAGCATAGTCACGCTAGCGCGGTCGCCTACCTAGTTATTTTTCGTAAAATTCTCTTCTATCTTCTTTATGCTTCAGCGATTTTCGTGTAGTGCAAATAAACGAAAACTGTCCTCATTGTTATTCACCATCAGCCGCTCGGGTACTCATCCATCATTTGAGGCCGTTTTTTTTTTTGTTAATATAAAATCATTCACCGTAAATGTCACACCGTCTAGTGACAGCGGCTTATTTGTTCTTCGTAGCTAACTACTCTCAATCTCTCTATCTCACTCTCCAACACTGTTTTCATTACCGAAAATATACATCGTTTGTTCTTCATTCACCATCACCGTCATCAATTCTTTTGTCCTGCCTCAAGCTGAGTTGTGTTCACACGCCGCGGTGCGTCGCTTTGTGGCAACAAAGGAAAATGTTAATTTAAATAATTAAGTCAATGTCACTTAACACTCGGCGCTCTGTTTGTTGATGTACGACGCTTAGATGCGCTTAGGTATGGAGTGGACAAATTACTGGTTAGTGCGAGTTAATTGCGCATGTCTAGTAGAACTTAAATACTCAAAATATGGCATCAAGAAAAAAAATGATTAACGATATTTTTTGGGGAACGGCGAGCTATTCAAGCCTCTACTCAAGCAGAGAAAGGGTAGTATTAAGAGATGAACATAAAAGAAGCTCTCTCTCTCTCTTCAGAAATGTTCCACGAAGCATAATATTTTATCCACATTTGAATCTATTGGAAAATCAGAAATACTTTAGCCAATTATTTGAATTTGATAATGAACTACAAAACGGCTATAACTCCAAATAAAGTTGACCTCGCTACAATTTTTCTTCAATGGGTGCAACAAAAAATCCAGCTTTTAGCAATTTCGATCAGTAATTTGTGATGCTAGAGCTATAAGCAATATGTTGGGAATGCTCAAAAATAATATATATGGTTTCAACTGAGCACTGCCTAGTGTTTAAGGTTATATTTCCTTCAATTCACTAACAGAGCGAGAGTGATTCCTAAGAGATTGTGTTTTGTACCTTCAAAACTTTAAGGAATGTATGGGGGTTCGTTACCTGTTCAAATGAATTAAAAAGGTTGCCATTACATCTAGTAGTCTACTCTCTGAGAGCACACGTCAACAACTCGCTATAGAGGAGTGACATAATATTTTTAGCTTTTATTTCACAGCTGAAGATGAAATGATCGACAAAGTCAAAAGAAGAGGAGTACGTTGAGGACGGTCGAACTTTCAATGAAGGGAAAAAGATGCCTATCTCGCAACGTTGGAATCCAGACAATGCGTGCAGTGAGACCTATGTGACATCAAAGATAAAGGTCGCAATACGAGAGATTGAAGAGCTTGAAAAGCTGATACACAGAACGGCAACTTACACATTGTTTCAATACGAGAGTTTGTAGTAGCCAAAGAGGTAAGGTAGAGGACAGAGTATAATGAAACTACTGGCAGAACATCAAAGCTGACTTACCGGCTGAGCTAGTTTTTTTTTGCAGAATGTGAACAGGGTAAATATACCAGAACCATAGTCAGAATCGGTAAGGACTTTGTGTTGTCAAAAATAATTTTCTTCAAGTAGAAACGACGGAGATACTATTCTTGATTAGTATATATTCGCGATAGTGGTTAATGGAGAAGGAAACGTTCGAGTTTAAACTTGAAAACTTGTTGAATTGGGAAATAAGTTTACTACATGCGGGCATTTAACAGATTTTCTGAGATAACATTAAATAGTTCTCTGGCAGAGGCTTCCCTCACTATTGCTAACGAATTGTGGGTCTTACCTAAATCCAATGGAAATGACAAGATATACTTATATTTTTTAAGTTGTCAGAACGGCCCTGTTGATAATAATAATTGTGAGTATTTTAGGAATAACATTCGTCGGTTCAAGCGCTGCAAGTGTATGTCGGACGGTCTTAGGCGGCTTAGTACAAAGTGTAGGTCATTTGAAATATCATCAAAACGCACATCACGAATCGGAGGAGGTGCTCGGCCGAAAATCACTCAGCGGTTATAGAGCGCTAATTATATATACGAGTGTTGTTGCCAGGCAAGATAATTGAATTTTAATGAAAGTGCGAGAATTATTCTTTTTGCTAAACGGTAGTCATTAGTTATTCTCAAATTATTTGAAATCAACTCCATTAAAAAGAGCACATCATAAAAAATAAAACTAAACCAAGCTAAAAACTTTAACTTGCTACAAATGTAGAGTTTCGAACAGAAATAATTCCAATCAAGCTCCTTTTTAAAAAAAAAGACTCAAGTTTTTTCGCATGTCTAAAATACTTTTTTTCTAAAACCAAGAACTATTTCTGAGTCCTTCCTTCAGTATTCCACCACCTTTTACATTCACTTCTGTGGCAATTTGAAAAAAAATCTCTTTAATCTCCCACAGCGCCTGCGCACACATAAAGAAAAACTAAAATACATCACTACTGCTGAAATCGCTTGCGATGATTGGTATGCGCCACATTTCGCGACTCATTGCAATCTTTCTTTATTAATACCATAGACATTAAATTGCAGAAATGAGAAAACAAAACATTAATTTATATTGCAACAACAAAGTAATTTGCAACATCTGTTGTAGCAAAGCAGAAGACGAAACGAGTAGAAAAGAAACAAAATCAGGCAGCGAAGACGAAAACATCATTGAGGCATGAATGAGCAAAAAACCAAAGGAACAACAAATATATATGTATAAATATTACTTTGCAGATAATTTCACAGTCTCAAAGAGGAGGAGGAGCTCAAAAGAAAGAAGTAAAATGATGGAGGAAACAGTGATGATTTTTTTGGCAATGCCTTCGGTGCGTCAGCATCGTAAATCAGCACGTTGTAGCAACTTGTCAACGGCAACAGATGTTTGTGACTTTCTTCGTGTTTTCTTGTTGTTTTCTGGTATTTATACTTTTGATGCGTATTAATGGCGTTGCAATAAAAGCGAAATAAAGCAATTATAATTTTTACCCACACATGCAACACCAGCAGCGGATGTAAGTACACATATATGTAGTTGAACATGTAGAATGTTAAAGGGTTTTTTGAGGCAAAGAAGAAGGGAAAACTACAAGTGTTTTTTAATTAAAAATTTCCGATTTAGATGAAGTTTAAAAAATATTTTACACCAGAAATAGCGGAGGAAATTCCCTTCTCAGTTCGTTCGTTTGAAGAAAATGTTAAATCGCGCACAAGTTTTGGCGGAATAAACGAAAATTAATTAGAAAAATAGAGGACTTGCGTTTTATAATGTCTCGCTGCCGTGCGACATCCCGTATATCATATGCTGAGAATTTATGTCAGAGAATAGTAGACCTATAACATTGAGATTCATAGTGTTACGAAATATTACAGTTATTTTGTTGTAGTTTAAGGGTTGCCGTAGTGTCTGTATTCTTAAAATTTCAGCAAACAAAATATAATAAATATAATTGGGTGAAAGAACATACATTACAGTTAGACCAGAGTCGCAATGACAACACAGTGGCCACAGTTTCTCACCCACGACAATTGGCTATTAAACGACGAAGCTTATCTGAATCTCTTTTACATCCGCTGTCTTGAAAACGACACAAAAAAATGTTTGATTGCTTAATTCCTAAATCTGACGCTGTCCTGAGTAGATTTAGCTGCACCCCGTTTTACATATCCCCGTACAGACAATGACCAATCAGATCTCCTTGATAGCTTAAGGATGGCTTCTCTTTCAAAGTAATATTCTTTGCGTGCTCTTTTACTTTCCCAGTTCATACTGGTTTGTCTTGATTTTCAACTGCGTTGAACTGAAAGATCGAAGAAGAGATTCATGAGAGAAAAAAATTCTTCTCGCAAGTTTTTTATTTGAAAACTAAAAGCTCACATCGTAGTCTAGCGTTCACGAGAATTGCGAGTAATTTTTTTTGTGCGATGGCGTAACCAACTTATATGGAGTCTTGGGCCTCGTCTGAAAGAGAAGAGAGCTTTAGTTAAGCCACTTAGACATATTTTCAACTGAGTGGATGACAGTAGATGAATTCTGATGGGTCTGTGCTTGGAGTTGTTGAGCGAATGCTTCTGAGAACGAATTGTGTACCTTCGTGAGCGGGCAATGGCCAAAATTGCAAATGATGGCACGATGTTCAGCAAATTCAGAGAGAGCCGCTGCTCTGGCTAGATCATGTTGTCAACCACCCCTAACCTCATTTCAATTGCAGGTACGAGGACCACGTGTTATATTATATCAGTGTTGCAATCCCGCAAAGAACATTTTCAGAATAAAATCATTAGCTCGGACAAAGAGGTGAATTAAATCGTGAACATTTCGCGCGATTATTTGTAACAACCTTCGACGTGGATTAACCCAGCAACAGGGCATCGCTGAACTTAATTAAATTTTTTTTGCGTTGAAGCTACATCAGGGAGGAATGTTTATCGACGATATGTTGAATTCAATAGAGCTCGTAGATCACTTCAAAACGGTTTCGTGATGATCGTTCAATATCAGTTTTTGAGAATATAAGCGCCCACACATTCATAAAAATAACTGTATTTTTGAGCACTCAAAACTTTGATTTGTTGAGTCGTCCACCGTTAAGTTCTATTTTGGCCCTGCATGACTTCCTTTATTCCCTTACGTATGAAAATAGCTAGGAGGTCAACACAGCAGAAGTGGCGGTTTTGGAAATACCTCAATGGGAGTGGCAAAAGAGGATCGAAAATTAGTTCAAACTCATGCAAAAGTATGAAGATCTTAATGAAGAATATTTTGAAAAGCAATAGCATTAGCGATTTCGAAGATTATTATCAAACCCTTGTATTTGTTGACTCGGCTTATATTTAGTCGGCGTTTACAACAGCGAGGAATAAACCGAAAGTTGACTCTTCCCGTCATTCTTAATTTGAAATTTCATAAATAGTTCGGCTGACGGGCGGTAGTGCACTTGAAAACTGCGACTATTTTGGCCGCCGAGTGGTCAGTAAATATTTAAAAAAATATGAACCAATTTCCTGAATCCGTTTGCATTTTTGGCATGATTAGAAAAGTCGACTTTGGAAGCGCCTGGCCACATTATTGCACAATCATTGCACACAACCTGTTGGCATACCCAATGGTGTTGCTTTTGTACTTGGACATTATTAAAAGATTTGTTTTCTCAAACGATTTGGATGATCGCTTGTCATGAATTGCCGCTGGCGAATGTAGCAGCCAGTGTTGTTAATTGGACAAGTTCGGCTGCTGGAATGAACGTCTCAGACATACATAGATAATGCAACGCAGACGAGAGGAGCCGTCAAGGCACAAACCACAGCTCAGCTGAGCTCATAAAATCCAGCTTTATATGGTACAGTAGATTAACTGCTTCCACTGCACTAAGTTGGCAAAACGGCGCTTGCGGCATTGAAGATTGTGCTTTGATGGAATGTTAAAATTGATGCGTGGCGTTGCACTCGGCAGTGCTACATGTGGCGCGCGCACACACATGCTGACGCTTTCGCACAAATTTTCCACAAGCTACTTTATAAGTCGCTGTCATATGACGAGTTAACGGTTTTCTGCATCAATTTATTTAGCGAACATTGCTGCTGTGCTGCTGTTGAGCTGTTGAGCTGTTGAGCTGTTGTGGCAGTCACCAAACAAGATGTGGCAGATTAGTTTACGCGTTACTTGCCGCATATTTACATTCATTGCAACGTCAGCGGGTTGTTGTTGTTGCTGCTGCAAATCAATTTATATTGTATTTGTTGTTGATGTTGTTGCTTTTCTGCGACTACTGTGACTGCTGCAACATGTTCTTCGACATTCAGCGCATATTTACTTGTCGATCCGCTGCCAAATGACTCTAATGATGTTGGCGGCGTTGCCGACGAGGTTGATGTGGCAAATAAGAGAATCTTAAACTTTGTCTATGTCGTTGTTGTTGTTATTGTCTGATTTTGCTGTTGCTGTCATTGATTGGCAGCTTAGTCACAATTTTAATATTCCCGTTGCTGACGCAGTTGCTGATATTCAACTGATAAATGGTGCAACAAGTTTGCGGCTGCAGCATGTAACTCAACTAACTGCACTGTTTGTGCAACACGTTTGTCCAGCCTATAATTGCATACAAAATTATTTAATCTTTAATCTATTTGTGAGCCTAAGTGCAGACATAAATATTTTCCTTTTTTTTATAAATAATCCGAGAACTGGTAGCCAACGAGGCTCGAATGGCGGGGATCATTGAATATATTATAGTGATCTGTGTTACGCAATAATTTATTTTGTGCTTGTTCGATTGCTAATACAATAAATTCAATTAACTACATTAGTAAATTCATTAATCAATAATAAATCCAAAATGATTCTTTAATATAAAAACATATAAACAGTTAAATTCTGGTTCATTCTTCATCTCTTTTAATGCCTCAGCTCAGAACTGATTAAAAATAATCTTGTGTATTAGTTGAATTTCCACTTTGTTAGAACTAATTCAGTGGAGTGGTCAGCATTGCGTACTCACCATCAGAAGGCCAGGGTTCGAGTTCTGAATATTCTAATCGGAGCTCTCCCTCGGCAGCGTATGTCAAGACCTCTGAGGATATTTCCGACATAAAGTTAAGGCTTCTGATCAACAAACATCAGCCGTTCAGAGGCGGCCTAGCATAAACTCTAGGTCCCTCTATTTGTTAGAAGAACATCAAGACGGAAAACCCCAAATTGGTTTAAATATGTAAAATTAATAGTATAAAATTTTAATAAAACGGCGGTCGGTTTGTGGAACGCATGCAACTCATCTCTATTGCCCATAAAGAATTAAGAACTAATTGGGCCAGGTAGGTGTATAACAAAATGAAACACACCAGCAAAATAAAATAAAACAAACTCATTATATTGATAGCGTGGGGGAAGAAAAGTATGTAATACGCACACATGACAATATAGCCAAAACAAGATCTCCGGGATGCGAAATCAAGATCAGGACTTTAGGAGATTCCATTCAATTCAGTGAGTGATTTAACACTTGAATCGTAATTGTGATAATTAGTAAAGCCAGTTTCATCTAAATAGAATGGATAATGAGAGCGCAAAGTTCTGTGAGGAACATTAAAGGTGACTCTAAGCAGCCCACTAAGCCATTGATGATGTCATCAATAAATAGCGATTTAAGATTTTTTAGCATACATCGGAAAGTATAGGAAGGTATAGGATCAAAGAAATGAAGCGAATAAACCGAATAAACCTACGTTGGATGGTTTCAACTCTAGAGGACTCCAGATTTGAACGAACCAAAGAATTATATAAAAGTTCAAGCGGGGAGGAAAAGGAATCATCACCATACCGCCGTAAAAAAATAAGGTTGAATAAGATTTAGGAATAATGCAGTTGATGTGATTAATGAAGGAAAAACCCACTCAAAATCCGAAAATTCATTGACAGGCGAATAAGGAATGGAAGTATCTTGAAAGCACATTTCATTTGCAAAAACCAAAACTTTCTTTAAATGCAGAGATGCGAAATAATCTGAAGTCTTACCCTTTGGACGACGGTTTCGATTAAATCCAAAGCACCTCTGTGCAGAAATAGGTCCTATGCTCATGAGGGAGCACTGATTGCGGCCTAACCTTGCATTAACGAAGTAGTTATAGCCAAATGTGCAAGTTTGTTAGCATTATATTTCCTAGCATTCCTCTATGTCACTCATATGATATTATTTTTGAGAAAGCTTTGCATTGGCGCGAAGTCATAAGTCCTTAAGCTTCGACTCCTCCGACAACCTGCGACTCATCCATCAAGAAGTTAACGGTTCCTTTCCTTTAATAGCTGTGTCCCCTTCAGTACTACCGTCAAACGATTATTGTGGAGAAAAAGACGTTCGGCGGCAACTCGGGGTTACAATACTACATTCTCTGTAATAATAGAGCAGTAGAGTGGCAACCAAATGACATTGCCATTGACGATATTCGCAAGACCCGATAGACATGGCTCCAGTAATGTATATCAAGTACACTACTTTAGGAGAAAAGCTCCAGCTCTAGCCGCCCTGAAGTGATATTAATACTGATACTTTCTTCTCCTCCATGATTACTTTTTGGAGTGGTTTTCCTGCCTGAGATAGAGTTTTGACTTATTTTACAACGATTTAATTTGTTGTTTAGCAAAGTGTACTCATTCGAAAGAACTCCTTCTCCTCTATAAAACTGTTTTATTTATTTTTTTGGATAATTAAATTGTTTATCATTTTTTAGGCTCAGAAATGAAATATGCAGGAGAAAAAAAGACATTTTCGACATTTGTCTTTTTTGCCGAGCAACACTTTTTGTGTCGAGATGAGATATAGTGTCAGGACATCAATGTCTCAGGAGAGACACCCAAGTCGAGAGTCAAACAAGATCTACACCCAAAAAAGACCATGATATGCGTTTGGTGGGACTCAGAAGGCATGGTACACTGGAAAATGCTCGATTGAAACGCTACTGTCAACAAAAGCTCTGAATTGGCGAGCTTAACTGTGTCAATGAGGTTAAGGAAAAGACCTGATAGATAAGGCCCAGTGATCTTGCCCCACGACAATGCCAGGCCCCATGCTGCCCAAGTTGTCGAAAGAGCACTCCAAGAGCTCGAATGGAAGGATCTTCAGCATCCACCGTATTCTCCAGATCTTGCATCTACCTACTATCGGCTTTTCCGCTGGGTAGTGCCTTCTATGGCGAAGAGAACCTTAAAATCGAGCTCAATAACTTCTTTGACAGTAGACCTGCCGATTTTTCGCGAAACGGCACCAACGAATTGGTAGAAAGGTGGGAAGAGGTCGCAAACAGTATCAGTGATGTGTTCTCATCGTTTAATTTATTATTATAATTATTGTATTTTGTTCAAAATAAATCTCTTCTACGAACTTATGCAACCCAATATCTCATTTTCTTGGGAAAATAAAGTTGAACGAATTGCCTATCGAAGGGGAAACTGCGTCAGGGATTCTGCATTTTCCATTTCACGACCGTTGGACTCGTTATGAACAGGTCAGCCAGCCTTTCGAGAGTTTCCAACAGAAAAAATGATTGGGTTATTGGTCTAAAATCTTCAGAAGATACACGCAAACATCTTCAAACCGTTTTGAGGGCAAACCACATTGACGATTCATGAAGTAGCAAATAATTTGTAAAACAATTATATGTCTGGTCCAGCGCCAAGAAGTTCCGAGGAGGCAAAAGCTTTATACGAACTTATTCCGCTTGATAAGCGACGATCTCTCAAAAAGTCAGCGAAAGAGATTGATTCTCCATTTCCATAATAATGACCGATCTCTTATTAGTTAGACAATTAAACAGTTAAAGAAACTAAAACTTTAGCTCTAATTTCGCAGACTTATATAAAATGAGTCGAATTTTCGGTAAGGTTCTTATTATCTTATCTATCTTGAAATGCCGGAAAAATAGTATTTGGCCACAAAATTGGAAGATTAAGCTATTGGGTATGAATACCGTTTCGGAAATTATGGAAAATGAGATGAAATACATCTTTAAAACAAGCCAATGTCTCGGTCTACTGCCTCAATCTCTAACCCACTATATGTGGCCGAAGTGCATTCTTATTGAGCTCCGGAATGATTCTGAGAGTATTTTATTAGGTTTTTTCATTAGACTGTGATCGGTGATCAGTAAGTATTTTTAAGTGTGTAGTAAAAGAGAGTTAAATTATCAAGCGAAGTCTTAATGATGCACTCAAGATAAGAAGTCAGGAAGGTAAATGAATTATGGAGAAAAAGCAGGTTTTATATTTGATGTGTAAGCTTCAGGAACTTTTCAAAATACCCTCAAATGTATTATATATATCTTAAACGTCTCTAGAACATAATTTTAGTACTAAAATATAAAACAACAATAAAGAGATATGTCTATTG